GCACGTGTCACCACGCCCAGCTTGTTTTTTTATTCTAAATCCCAGACCAGCTTCTTGCCCTGTTTCTGTTCTTTACCCTGAGGCTACTTGACTGGGGGTTGGGAGTACTTCTCTTTTCCAAGTAAAAATGCCTCAGTCTTCTAGCCCCTCCTCCAAGCCTGGGGTCAGATTGCTCCAGCTGTTTCCAAAAGCAGAATGCAAGCTCTGGCCCCCTGGACTGTCCATGGCCACCTGCCCAAGGTTCTTGTTTTGTGATAGGAACTTCATCATTCACTCACACAGCTCTGCCTCAGTGACTGCTCTAGAACTGTCACTCCATGTTTTCTTTTAGCCCCATACCCTGTGGGAGCACCCAGGGAATCTATCCCCCTTACTGAGAAGGCATTTGATCATGGAGTCACCTTTGTCCTAGCAGTCCCTGCAGTGATCCTTTCTGGAGCCTGTCTTCTGTGCCCATTCATCTTCAAGAATCTTCTGAGCTGCCTCTTCTCCATTTTTTTTTTTTAATTGTTATATGAGTATTGTATGAGTGTATTGCCTACTTGTATGTAAGTGCACGTCATGCAATACCCGCAAAGGCCAGGAGAGGGCGTCAGATCCCCTGGAACTGGAGTTAGAGGTGGTTGTTAGCCACCATGTGGATGCTGGGAACTGAATCCAGGTCCTCTGCAATAGCAGCCAGTGCTCTTAACTGCTGAGCCGTCTCTCCAGTCCCCCTTTCTCTACCCAGGAAGGAATCCAGTACAACGGCCCCAACAGGGTCTGGAGGTGTGGCCTCAGGCTCAGGGAACAACTCAGGGGGATCCAGCCTCCTGGTGCCACTGCCTGTGAATCCCCCCAGCTCTCCAACACCCAGCTTCAGTGAGGCCAAGGCAGCTGGTGCCCTGCTCAATGGCCCTCCACAGTTCAGCACCACCCCGGAGATCAAGGTGGGCTCCTCAGATGTCCCTGGTGGGCCCCAAGCCCCAGTGCTAGGACAGGAAATTCATTACATGCACTTTCTGGAAAAAGGAGATGCAGCTTAGACACTCTCAAATAAGTCCTTCGTTCCTTTCTTCCTATATATAAAATCTCACTAAGTTGCCTAGGCTAGCCTCAACTTGCAATCCTCCTGGAAGCCTAGCTCAGATGTCTACAGTTTAAAGGAATCAACCCAAGTGGGTGATGGTTTTGAGAGGGAACAAAATAACACCTTGCTGGAAAGGTCCCTGTGGGTGGAGTGGGGAGGGTCGGCACAGAGGAGGAAGGCATGTTGGGCGTGGCCAGTACAGAATGAATACCTCCAAGGGAGCTCAGATGAAGGGCTGTGGGTGGGCCTTGCTGATAGAAGGGTTATTACAGAGGATGCAGGAGCCAGCCCTAAGCTGCTTAACCAAGGAAAACTGTGAGGGCTGTGGGCCCGGCTTCCTGGTGTTCCCAAGGAGACGGAATGCCCAAGGGATGTCCGTCATCCCCAAGGAACATCAGCAAAGCTTGCATTCCCACCACCTCTTGAGGTGCCATGCTGCCGTGGGCGGGCCCGTGGGGTGGGCAGGCCAGTGGGTGTTTTCCCAGCATGTGGTGTCTTTATAGCAGTGTGTGCCACAGTGTGCCTGCTTCATCCTTTGTAAGGTCTTGTTTCCTCTGGAACCACTGCACAGGATTCCACAGTGGAGAGTTCACACAGTGGACCTTCCTCTGTGATGCCCACCTCGGGTTTGCAGTTTTCCCCACAGCAGTGGTCTTTGGCATGACACAGGTAGATCTTCAGAGTAGGTGACTGGTGACAGCAGAGCAGGCAGACCATGTAGGTCCTGTCAAGCTGCATGCTTTAGCCCAGCCTCTGCTCAGGTCCTTAGGCTCAGTCACTTCTTTACCCAGGCCCCTGAGCCTCTGAGCTCCCTCAAGTCCATGGCGGAGCGGGCAGCCATCAGCTCTGGCATTGAGGACCCTGTGCCAACATTACACCTGACAGAGCGAGGTGATGGTTCTGGATGGTGGGAAGGGCAAAGGTCAAAGAGGAGCTGGTCTGATCCTCATCTTTGAGGGCCTGGTGTCCTACCCCTCCCCACAGACATCATCCTGAGCAGCACATCAGCACCTCCTGCCTCAGCCCAGCCACCCTTGCAGCTGTCAGAGGTGAACATACCATTGTCATTGGGTGTGTGTCCACTGGGGCCAGTGCCCCTCACCAAGGAGCAGCTCTACCAGCAGGCCATGGAAGAGGCCGCCTGGCACCACATGCCCCACCCCTCTGACTCCGAGCGCATCCGGTGAGGGGCCATAGAAGGGGCTGGGGACCGGGACTCCCAAGTCTTAGGGAGGAGCTGGTTCCTGGGTCCTGAGAGACTAGGTAGAGTACTCATCCCATTAAGTGCTGAGCACTTGACTTGGGGCTCCCTATAGCAGGTTAAAGTGTGCTTCTGAACACCCTCCTGAAGAAAGGCAGGAGCTGGAAGTCACCTGGCACTAACTCCTCCCTGATCCACAGGCAGTACCTCCCCCGGAACCCTTGCCCGACGCCCCCTTACCACCATCAGATGCCACCCCCACACTCGGATACAGTGGAGTTCTACCAGCGCCTGTCAACTGAGACCCTCTTCTTCATCTTCTACTATCTGGAGGTACAGCAGGGCCCCTGGGGCAGCCTCGAGCCCCCCAGCTCTGCCGTCACCGCTGCCATCCCCCCTCGGGCTGGAGGGGCGAGGTGGGTGCCCCACTGCGGCCACTGGGACCGCACCCCCTCCCTATCCCAGTCCTGCCCCCCTCCCCCCCAAACCAAACCAGTCCCAAGGTATTAGACCTACTGAGGCTCAGGGAGAGCTAGCCTCTGCAGTGGGCCCCAGGCCTCTTGCATTCCACTGTCCAGAGCTCCTAGCTCCTCCCACACTTAGTTGGTAGGATGTCCCTCTGCAGTGCAGAAGGCACACTCTCAGGCCTCCCCAGAGACCTCTAGGGGAACTCTCTAACCTCCTTGACCCCAGTGAGTCACAATCCCCCTCAGCACTCCTCTTGAGAAATTCTCTGAATTGCCTCCTCTCAGCTCTTATGCGTTAGTCTCTCTTCCTTCTCAAAGCTTCTCTGAAAGCAATTTTCACCTCCTGTCATTTTCTTCTCACCAACATGGGTATGTTCTGTGCCCCATCACTGTCTCCAAGTGGATTCTCCACCCCAGCTGGTCTGTGGTGGGAGCCCATGTCCAGCCCTGATGCCCTACCCTCACCCCGACCCCCCACCCAGTTTGGGGGGGGGCCCTGATCCCCCTCTGTCTTTCCTCTCCCAGGGAACTAAGGCACAGTACCTGGCAGCCAAGGCCCTAAAGAAGCAGTCATGGCGATTCCACACCAAGTACATGATGTGGTTCCAGAGGCATGAGGAGCCCAAGACCATCACCGATGAGTTTGAGCAGGTGAGGGCCCCGCCTACCCTGGTCCCACTGGGATGTGGCTAGTGTCCCCAAGCCCAGCCTCCTTTACCAAGCATAGTCCTGTAGACCAACCTGGCCTCCCACGCTGTTCACCCTGCCTGGGATGCTGTCCCTACTCCCTGTTGGTCCAGCTCCTAGTCCTGTAGGTCTGAGCCGTGTCCCTTGCAAAGAGAAGCCTTCTGGAGCTGCTAGCTCTGCCTCCGCCAAGCAGCCCTGATACCTCACTTGGGAGTGTGGGAGTTTCTAGTTGGCATCTCCAGACCCTGGACTCGATGGCCCTTCCCCTCCGTTTCCTGGCAGCCAGCAGAGCAGGGACTGAGCATACTTGGAGGAAGCTTGTTTAGGCAGCCTCTCATGTTTCAAACAGTAGTTGATTGGAAACTCCACTCTCCCCAAACACCCTGAAGCCAGCCGGTCTGGGTCTGAGCCCAGCTCTAGCCGGGCACTCTTGGGCACTTGAACCTCTCTTCGTCTGTTCCTTACTTGTAAAAACGGGAGTAACAGCACTCACTTCATGCAGTTGTTACAAGGATTAAATGCGTTAATAACATGTAAGTACTAATGGTTCCTGCTGTACAGTGAGCGTCAAGGGCGTGGTTCTTTTTTTCCAAATTGATTTAGGTTGGCGTGTTCCACAGTGATTTCCCCACACACCCTTCCAGGTGCCACACACCCTCTTAGTGGTTCCTGTCCTCGCAGAACCCTGCCCTGTCCTCCATTCTTCCAAGCCACTTTCTCTGGAGCATTTCACATCCTCGACCCAGCTTCTCTCTTGCTGTATCCTGTCCATCCCTGACATCAGGCTTCCTGTCCCACCTGGCTTGGTCCTCCACATTAACACATCTCAGGGCATCAGTTCACTACAGAATCCCCACACTACCCCTGAAGAGCAACTGGATGCAGATTCTGCACATGTTGCATTTTCTAGGCTGTGTTCCTCAGTCTGTGAACATCAACCTGGCCATGGTTGCCCTCAGCACTCACCTGAGGTACTCCAAAGCTGCAGTCACCTGACAGCAGTCAGAGCCTGGCAGCCCGTCCAGAGCAAGGCTAGGCTTGGGCATCACCCCTCCGTGCCTCCCTTGTTCCACTCTAAAGTGGGCCTAACCCTTCCTACCCCAGATCACCTGGGGTGGAGCAGAGTGCACGTAGGACAGCCAGCCCGGAACCTCTGCACCCTGACGGCTGCTTCCTTGTCCGTTCATCTGGCCCCATCCCAGCTCCCCTCCTCGTCCACTCACTGACCACCTTCTTCCCCGGCCAGGGCACCTACATCTACTTTGACTACGAGAAGTGGGGCCAGCGGAAGAAGGAAGGCTTCACCTTTGAGTACCGCTACCTGGAGGACCGGGACCTCCAGTGACACCGGCCCCCCCCTCCCCCTCCCCCGCATGCTGATCCCCTGCCCAGGTGAGGGCCCTGCCCTGGAAGACTGGGGGAGGCCCCAGGCCATGGGACACCCTCTCCCCCAGGAAGCAGGGAAAGGGCTGGGAGGTTTTCTCTTCCTCTCTGCCCTACCCTGGGGGCCCGGGGGGCGAAGGCTGCCCCCTCCTCCCCTCCCCAGTGAGGGACATTTTTTGGTAAACCTATTTTCATTTTGGAAAATATTTATGAATAAATAGTTTTATATGACGGCTGGCAGCAGCAGCCTCTCCTCTACACCCCCCCCAAAGAGTCAGTGAGCAAAAGTGGGGTCTTGTGGGCGTGGGCGCCGGGCCAGGTGGGGATGGAACTGGGAGTTGTACCGCCGTCTCCGTTCATCTGTCTCTTCCTCTTCTCCCGGACCTTCCCTGGGCGGCCGGCCTCGTACCCGGGCCAGGAGGGCCTCCGCCCTTGCCCTCTCGGCTGTTTCCCTCTGAAGACGCTCAGCCCGAAGCTGGTCCAGGGAAGGGGGCCTTACAGGAAGGGAGAGCAAGGTCAGGAAATGGGGTTGAGGGACGTCACCTAGTGCAGGGACACAGCAAATCCTTGAACCCACAAGTCGTGCTATGTCCTCTCAGGTTTTAAGAACAGGTGCCCTTCCAGGGCAGGAGATCATGGAGCAGTGCCCTGGGTTCCTCTGTGCCTTGTCTTTGACTTCCCTTTCTCACATAAAAAGGGGGCTAGTCAGCGAATTTCCCCTTTTGCACTTTGAGATCCAGTATCCATAAACCTGCTTTTCTCTACTCCCAGTGGTTCCTTTCTAGTCTGAAAATGAGGGCCTCAAGTCAAACAGGTTCTTTACTGTGTGCTGCCTTCTAGTACTGCAACACTGGGTTCTGTCTGAAAGATTGGGGGAGGGGGTCTGAGAACCTCAGACCTTTTAGGTAGACACTATCTGTCACATATATAGGGAACTAGAAATGAATACAGCCAGGCATGGTGGTGTACCCCTTTAACCCTAGCACTTGAGAAGCAGAGGCATGCAGATCTAAGTTCAAGGCCAGCCTGATCTACATAGCGAGACCTAGAGCTAGCCAGAGCTACACAGTGAGACCCTGTCCAAAAGGAAGAGAAAGAAAAATGCAAACAGAAGTCTTGTACACAAGCATGGGTACCAATAGCCATCACACTGACAGTACCTTCTCACCCCCCCCATATAAACGTCTCCACAGTTTGCTGAGAGGGCTCTGGGAGCTCAGGTCCCTGAACCACATATTGAGAGAGCCGCTTCATCCTGCCTGGCCTGCGAGTGTTCCCGGCATGCCCAGGCTGGTGGGCAAGGGGTCCTGCAGTGGGGTGTTCTGTGGGCTGGGTGTTCACTCTTACCCCTTGGGCCATTGTTTCTCCTTTCTGCGAGGATGACCTTCTTCACTGCTGTGCCTTTTCTTCCCCAGGTGCTTCTGCATCTCCCTCAAGGGGTCCAGGCGGGTTTTGATCTTCTCATCAGGGCTTGGGCCAGACTGGGGGTCCCTTCGCCCCGGGGGGAGCTGGTACCAAGGGGGTTGAGTCTGGGCCTCTGCTGCACTCTGGCCCAAGTATGTCAGAATGCCCAGCGCTTTCTCCTGCCTCTCCTGCAGGAGCCAGAAAACAGAACTTTCAGTCCTTCTGAGAGCCATAGATGAGGCAACAGGGGAATTCAGGCACTGTGTCCCAAGACAGGCAGGGACTGAGGATGCTGACAGTCATTTCGGAGAGGAGTGATGGACCGGCTATGTAGGATGCCAGGGCCTCGGTGACTGTGCACAGCAGAGCCACCGGCACTTGGGCCATACTGCTTAGAGTACAGTGACAGGTGCAGCATGACACTTGGAAGAGGGTCGGGGGGGCTGACTGTGTTCAAAGGAGCCTGGAGCCAGTGAGCAAAGGAGACACCTGGTTTCCGGGGGAGATGCTAGAGAGCAGTGTTGTGAGTCGATTTGAAACTAGGTGCAGTGGGATAGGGCGGGTGTGATCCCAGCACTCAGGACTGGGAACTGGAGGACTTTCAGACCTAAGACTGGGAACTGGAGGACTTTCAGACCTAACCATCCTTTTAGGGTCACCGTCAGCTGGAAACGGGGCACACTCCAGTATCCCCTAACAAGGCTTGACCCTACAGCAGCAGCCATCTTCTTGGGTACTACCTTTCTGTCCGTTCTAAACTGTCCGTGCGTCCATTCACTGCCACTGTATCTTAGTCACCAAGAGCTGCAGTGTGCCCCCCCCCCCACGGCTGAGTGAGGCCAGCTTACTCTCTCCTGTCGCTTCTCGTCCTCATACTCCTTATTGCCTCTTGTCACCCCTTTCCCTTCTTCCAGCAGCTCCCGAAACAGGTCCACGGGGCCAGAGCTTGGGGCTCCTGCGCCTGCTGCTTCAAGCTCAGTCAGGGAGTTCTGACGCCTGGCTCTCTTCCGTAGGAATTCTGTGCGGGCCTGTGGAGACAGTTCTAAGTAGGTCGTTGGAACCCACAAGTAATTCAAGGGCTGTCCCCCATGCTGGGGGTTACAAGAAAGGATGGGGGTTACAAGAAAGGGACCATGGGGCACTGGGACCCAGAATAGATACCTCTCTCAACCTGGGGTGGGAGTGGGTACTTTCAGTAAGAACTTAAAAAAAAAAAGGACACCAGAAGGCTTCTCCACCTGGAATGATGCAGTAAAAACAGCTCTAAAAAAAAACAAGCCAGTAGGGCTGGAGAGATGGCTCTGCTATTGCTTCAGAAGACCAGGGTTCAAGTCCCAGCACCCACATGGTGGCTAACAACTGTAACTCCAGCTCTGCAGAATCTGATGCCCCCTTCTGAGCACTGTACAACACAGGTGTACCTATATACGTACAGGCAACACAGTTTTTTTTTTTAAGCCAAGTGTGAGCCGGGCATGGTGGTGCAGGCTTTTAATCCCAGTGCTCAGGAGGCAGAGGCAGGAGGATCTCTGCGAGTTCAAGTCCGGCCTGGTCTACACAGTGAATTCCAGGCCAGCTGGGGCTACAGGGAGCCTTTGTCTCAAAAAGTCCAAAAAAAAAAAAAGAAAAAAAAAATTACTCCCTGCACTTGGGAGGCAGAGGCAGGCAGATTTCTGAGTTTGAGGCCAGCCTGCTCTACACAGTGAGTTCAGGCCAGTCAGGGCTAAAAATAAAACAGCTATAGGGTGGGGGTGAGGCGCTCCCCAGTAGAGCTCCTGCTTACGTGTTTCGGTGTGTAGTTCTAGGTTCATCCCTCGCACACACATGCACACACACCCCCAAACACAGAGTAGAAGGCCCAAACCTTGCTTTCTGGGTCAAGGCTGTGAATTCCGGCAGCGCTCCTCGTGGTTACTTTACAGTAACGTCTGAGGCCTGCTGAGTCGCTCAGGCTGGTCACAGGCCTGCCCCACCGCGCCCAGCCGGTTGGCGGTTGTTACTGAGACGCCAACCACTTCATGGCCAGCACCTTCCATCGGATTGACCGAGGGATGACGTTAAGGGTAAATCCATGGGTCGAGAACTACTTAAGAACACCTCTGTGGCCGGGCGCGGTGCGCGCCTTTAACCGCACTCGGGAGGCAGAGGCTGGCGGATCTCCTGAGTTGGAGGCCAGCCTGGTCTACACAGCGACTTCCAGGCCAGCTGGGGCTACAGGGAGACCCTGGGTCAAAACGGACCAGAGAGAACCTGGGTGGTGTGTCTGGGGAGGAGGAGGGGGAAAGCGCTCGCCGAAGGGGCGCACCGGAAGGAGTCCGCCGCACTCGTGCGGGATGACACCGGCGTACGGACTCCGGGGAGGGCTGCTCCGGACCCCCTGCACGGCGGGGGCACGCACGGTGCTCGGTAGTAACTGCTAACGGACCGTGATCAGGACGGACAGTCCGCAAACACCTCCCCAACTCCTCCCGTGCGCTGGGCCCTGACCACATCACCGCGGGACTCCGCACTGCGGCGGGGTTCTATAGGAACACAGCCGGCGCACCGAGTCCGGCGTCGGGACCGGCCGGCCCACCGCGCCTGCGCAGCGCGCGGCTTCCGGTCCCTCCAGGTGCGATTGGCGGCGGGCGCTGCGCCGGCCGGACCCGCACTTACTTCTTGCTGGGCGAGCAGCGCTCTCCGCTCCCGCTCCTTCTCCTCCTCCCGGGCCTGGGCCTCGTCGCGTCGCACCCGGGCGACATTGTCCTTGTTCCGGACGTGCCAGCTCTTCTTAGGCAAGATGTTCATGGCGCCGGAGCCGTCCACCGACTGTCAGGCCCGCCTCCCAGCACTTCCGATTGGCGAGAGGACGCCCTGCCCTGTTGTCCCTCCCTCGCTCGCGCATTGGTTCTGGGCCAGCTGGCACGCCCCCTCCTGGCCTGTGGCTGCAGATGATTGGCTGAGACGCTTTCCATCACAGCCACCCCCAGGCGCCCGCAGTGTTTGATCACCTAGCGACCGGGTCTGAGGGTCTGAGTGGCTCCACCCCAGACGCTGCTAGATGTAGCTACCCTCCTCCCTCAAACCATGGGGTCCAGACCCAACCCTCCTTCCTCAGAGTCAGGGGTCCAGACCCAGCCCTCCTCCATCAAGCCCGGGGTCTAGAACCCGGTTCTCCTCCCTTAGAGCTAGGGGTACAGACCCATCCCTCCTCCCTCAGAGTCAGGGGTCCAGACCAAGCTCTCTTCCATCAAGCCCAGGGGTCTAGACCCCAGCCCTCTTTCCTCAGACACCAGAGTCCATGCCCTGACCCTCTTCCCTTAGACTCAAGGGTCCACATCCCAACTCCTCTTGGCATGCTGTCTAAGCCTCCAAGCAGACACATGCCAATACATCAGATTGACCAGGCCCCTTCCTAAACCCTGCCTCTGGCTTCAGGGCAAGGACTTGAAAACACCTAGCAGTTTCAACAGTTGTTTATTGATAGGATTCCATTTAGAGTCGGGCACTGGACAGCGGAGGGTCTGGGACTGTCCAAATCATAAGAGCCGAGAGGGTACCGTTACTTAATGCACGAAGTAACTGAGGCTTACAAAGAGTCTGGGAGCTGAAGGTGAGGCATCATCTCCAGCCAGATCAGAGAACTCCGTTCGCTGAGCTCAGCGCCAGAGCGCGCTGGGCCAAGAAGACTTTATTCTGTGCTTCCTGAGGGTAAAGAGGGGTGGAAGTGAGCCAGATCCCTTTTCATGTTCTTGGGGAAGCCCTCCCAGGGACCAGCCTGGCTCACCCTCTTTATCTGGAGTTTGAGCTCAGAGATGAGGCGTCCATAAGAGTTAGCCAGGGTCACTGTATATACCATCAGGATGCTAAGAAAGACAGAAATGGAAGTCACTCCAGAAAAAAAGATTATCTTCATTATAAGCCTCCTTAGAAACCAGGGACAGGATCCTCAAAACCCCTTCTTCAGACTCTGAATTTGAGTCTTCCATCCCCTCCTGTCTCAGACCCAAGAGTTGAGACTCGATCCCCAAACTTCTTTGGTACTTAGGACTCTGGGGTCCAGACCTCCTCTCTCAGACCAGGGGTGGAGGCTCCAGACCTCTTCCCTCAGAGTCAGGGGCCCAGACCCAGCCCTCTTCCCTCTGACCCAGGGATCCAGACCCAGTCCTCCTCCATCAGACACGGGTCCAGACACTAGCCCTTATCCACCCAACCTAGGCTTCCAGGCCCCAGCCCTCATCCTTAAGACTCAGGTGTCCAGACCCTAGCCCTCCTTGCTCAGACAACACAGGTCAGGGCTGCCAAAGTCTGGGACTCCTCACCTGGACAACAGCAGAAGGGGCACAGCAAAAGCCTGGGTTCCCAGAAAATAGAGAAAGTTCTGGGTGGTCTGAGGAAGACTCTCAATGGACTCTGGAATGTGGGACCAAATGGACAACTGCCCCCGGAATGGGCCACACAACTTAGAAGGTGGGATTCTGCATGTGGAGACACATGAAGCTCAGTGCAGAAGGACCAGAGTGAGAACTCAATAAAGGCAGAGGGAAGCAGGAGCCCCTCCCACTTACAAGAAGATGCTGTAAAGCACGGGGACAGCGGAGATCGCCAGACCCAACAGAAGCACCACAGGGAAAAAGAAATTTGCTGTGGAGGCCCGGAAGGTGCGGGAGGCTGGTGAGCACGTGGAGAAGAGTGTTATCTGGAGAGGACAGGTGAGGAACTGAGGATCTGAGACCCAAGAGGTGCTTGTCTCTCCTCTCTCCTCTTCCCTATCTAGGGGTCTCAGCCCCTTTGGGTCAAGGACTCAGGGCTATGACCCCCCCCCCATTACTCAGACCTAGGAGTTGGAATATCTTGGACCGCCCCCCCCCTTCTCTGGACCAGGACCCTGCTCCTTCCTCAGGGCTTAGTAGTCAGAAGCCCCAGCATCATCTTTCTGTAGCCTGAGACTACAGGCCCCCAATACTCCCGGCTCAGACCCCAGTATCTTCCTCAACCTCACCTTCTTCACATAGAAAAGTAGCAGGAACTTGGCGCTGTTGATCAGGGGTAGTAAAGGGCAGAAAAAACTTCCCACCCAGACCACGATCTGAGCATAGACAAGCCCCAAGACCTCATCCGGCACCTGGAACTCCAGGGTCCCCAGCGCACGACCCAGTGCCCCAGGACAGTGGCCACAGAGTAGCCTAGGGGTGGGGTGGAGGAGTCAGAGGTGTATCTTCTGGGTTTCCCAGACCCCCCCTCCCCCACTGTCCCGCCCATCCTTTCAAAAAGGAGCTAGAGTGGGAAGACTTTCAGGAGCTTGTGGAAGAAGAGTGTTTGCAGGGGCAGGACTTCATAGCAGGTGGGTCTCTGTGAGATCAAAGTCAGACTGGTCTTACATAGTTCTAGGCCAGCTCAGGCAATGGAAACACCCTGTCTCAAAAAACAAACAAACAAACAAACAAACAAACAACACCCCGCCCCAAACAAAGCAAAGAAAATGGGTTGGATGTTGATCTTGGGCTTACTCCTGTAATTACAGCCCCTGGGAGACTAAGGCAGGTGGCTCACCACCAGTTCCAACCAGTTCCAGACCTTGACTATAGTGAGAAACTGTCTCAAAGAAAATTAAAAATAGCCAGGCGTGGTGGCACAAGCCTTTAATCCCAGCACTTGGGTGGCAGAGGCAGGCGGATCTCTGTGAGTTCAAGGCCAGCCTGGTCTACACAGTGAGTTCCAGGACAGCTGGGGCTACAGGGAGGCCCTGTCTCAAAAAGACCAAAAGAAAAAAATTAAAAATAAATAAAAGAGCCATGTGTACATGTATGTGCACTTAATCCCAGCATGGGGGAGACAGAGGCAGATGGATATCTGTGAGATGGAGGCTAGCCTGGCCTATATAGTGAGTTCCAGGCCAGCTGGGGCTCCAGGGAGACCCGGTTTCAAAAAGATAAAACTAGTAATAATAAAAGGAGATCGATGCCAGTCTGGTCTACATATCCAGTTCCAGGTCACATAGTAAGACCTTGTCTCCAAATATAAAATGAAATTAAAATAAAGAGGGGGGGCAGGAGAGATGGCTCAGTGATCATGAGGACCAGATTCAGATCCCAGCACCCACATAACAAGCCGGGTATCCTGTGCTTGCCTGTAACCCCAAGAGGGCCTGCCCAAGACGGGTGGAGACAGGAGGATCCATGGGGCTTACTGGCTTCCATGGAGATGTGAATCCAAGGTTGAGGAAGAGAGAGACCCTGCCTCAAAGGAATAAACAGAAAATGCTAAAAGAGAATATCTATGTCTCCTTCTGGCCTCCAGGCACAGGCATAGGCACACCCAAACAAACATGGCATATATCCAGAGAGGTACAAATAAGTATTAAAAAGGCCTGGGCATCTAGCTCAGTGGTGGAGTGCTTGCCTAGCTTATGCAAAGATCTATGTTAAAATGAAAATGGGTGATGGGTGGTACAGAACAGGAGAACTGTGCCCTAGAGGTCAGAACCTGCCCCAAGAGGGGCGGGGCTCTCACTTCCGAGGAAACTGGATCAGCAGCGTGACAATCAGGCCCATCAGCAGATCAAAGAGCACGAGTTTGTACATCTCCTGGCCCAGCCGAGTCTCCCAGCACTGAGGAAAGACGAAATGGGTAGAGACTCCAAATTGCCAGTGAATATCATATAAGACCCCACCATGTATGGGGGAGCACCTCAATGTTTACAAGTATTCACTGTCCTGTTCAGCACCCCAAACTTCATCTCCTTCCAAGCCAGGGGTTTGCATCCACCCAGCTCTCCTGTACATTGTCCTACCTTAAGGCCCAAGAATGACACTCGTACACCCACAGTGTTCTCACCGGAAGTTCTTTGTAATTGTAGCCACAGGTCTTGCATCCCTCTGCCTCAACATTTCCGCCACAAGTGATCTGATTCCAGAGAGAGATGAGAAGGAACACCAGAGAGGCCAGACGCAAAAACACGGTCCTGCAAGCGGAAGGGACTCACAATGATGCAGCGTCTACTACATATAAGTTCCCTCCTGCGTGGAACCTAGAGTGTGATGAAGAAACTGAGGCTCAGTGCAGGGATTTGAGCCTGGAATTCCCTGAATCTTATAGGCATAGGACTTCCCTATCCTTAAAAAGAAACAATCCAACTGCTACTGTGTCTGGAGGTGCTATGATCAGAGGACAACTTCATGGAGTCAGATCTTATTATTTTACATTGGTTCTGGGAATTGAACTCAGGTCACTAGCATATGCAGGAAGCACCTTTACCCACTGAGCCATCTCACTGCCCCAGACTTTCCTGTCTTATCTGTTGAACCAACCACCCTCAAGCCATCCTTTCCCAGTACTTCCATCCCATCATCCCACCCCATCCCAACCCATCATCCTATTCCATTTCATCATGTCATCCCATCATCTCATCCCATCCCATCATCTTATCCCATCATCTTATCCCATCCCATCCCATCATCCTATCCCATTTCATCATCCCATCCCATCTCATCCTGTCCCATCCCATCCCATCCCATCATCCTATTCCATTTCATCATGTCATCCCATCATCTCATCCCATCCCATCCCATCATATCATCCCATCCCATCATCTTACCCATTTTATCATCCCATCCCATCATCTTATCCCATCCCATCCCATCATCTTATCCCATCCCATCCCATCATCTTATTCCATCATCCTATCCCATTTCATCATCCCATCCCATCTCATCCCATCTCATCCTATCCCATCCCATCCCATCATCCCATCATATCCCATCCCACCCATCCCACCCATCCCAAGAGTCCAGAACCCATCCCAAGGGTCCAGAACCGGAGCAGGAAGAAGATGATCTGGTGACTGCGGGTATAGCCTTCTAGTGGGGCAAGGAGCTTGAACACAAACGGCAGCACAAAGTTGAACACGGAGATGAAGATGGATGGAAGATAATTCACCACAAGCTTGAGCAGCGGTGTCTGCTGGTTAAGGAGTGTCTCCTAAAGGGAGAGTGGAACAAAGAAAGAGCCATGCTGAAAGCCTTTTCCCCCACAAGACCCTGACTTCCCAGACCCCCCCCACACACACCTCCCCTTTCTCAGGCTTCCTGGGATCCTAGACTTCGGGTCTCTTCCACAGCCCCTCCACCCTTGGAAATGTAAGATCCGAGACCTCGAGACCCTCCTCCTCCTCCAAGACCCCTCTGCACCTGCAGCGTCACTGTGGACTCTGTGGCCCAGTAGATGCCATAGAAGGCCGCTCCCAGGAGCGCGCAGACCAGCAAGTTGATGAGCACCCTCACCAACCACACCCTGGCTCGCTGCCCTAGGGTCTGCTCCGCAGCCCTGCGTCGAACCATGGCTTCCTCCAGCTCCACCTGAGGCCAAAAAGGACGGCTACTCGGCCTCTCTCCCTCCAGCTCAGAATGATAGTTCTTACTGGTTCTTCTTCCAGGTGCACCGATGCAGCCCTCTCCCACCTTCGGACAACCTCTAAAGTCCTGGTTGCACCCTCTCCAGGGCTGTCCATGGAACCACTTAGTTACCCGGGCTTTGCCCTCTGCAGCCTGGCCTAGCATCCAATCCCCATCCCTCCTTAGCCCAACCCAAGCCCGCTCTTTCTAGGCCCTGCCCTGTATTCAAGCTCCGCCCATCCTTGGCCCGGCCCAGAACCCCAGGACTCCACCCCCTGCAGTCCCGCCCTGCGTCCAAGCCCCGCCCTTCCTTGGCCAGGCCCAGAATCCCAGGCTCCGCTCTCCTGACCCACTTCTGCTTTCTCAAACCTGCCCCTCAAGCCACGCCCAACACTTCACCTTGGACCACTGTCTCAGGCTTCGCCCCTCACTTTGCATACTTTCCCCCTCCATCTCTGACATTCCTAGCCTGGCCTCCTCAGAACTCTGTCTCTCCCTGTCTCTGAGCAATGCTCTCCCTGCTCCTTACTTCATCCAGGTCCTGTCTGGTGTCCATCTAATTGTAGGCCCGCCTTCCCGAGCGTACCTGCAGTTCATACCGGATGATGCTCTGGCGCAGCCGCACGTGCACATCCCCGCGGAGGCCAAAGTCCCAGGCTGAGAACACTCGGTGGCTGTAGCTGGTCAGAGTTCCTGACTCAGCTAATAACGTCTCTTTCAACCCGGACACCGAACTGAGAGAAGAGACCCCCGGAGAGAGGGTGTGTGAGGGTGGGGGAACCCCACAAATGGAACAGGAACGCTAAGCCTTTCACCAAGTACCTCCTTGCTGAAGTTAAAGAGACACACAAGTCATTAGAACCAAAGGCCAAGAGGTAGATCTGGGGAGCAGACACCCCAATGCCACCCAGGAACCTAGGAGACAGGGACAGAGCTCCAGAGAGAAGAGGGGAAGAAGATGCAGACACAGAGATGGGAGGGAATCACGACGCTGTAGAGAGGAAGCAGGCTGGGCATGAAGGAAGCTGAGGCAGGAGGATTTCTGCACTTTCAAGGCCAGCCTGAGATACACTGGGAGTTCCAGACAAGCCAGAGGTATGTGGAGATTGTCTCAACACCCCCCTCTTTAAACAACAACAACAAAAAAGCATGTTGCCAGCCGGGCAAAGACCTAGAGGAGGGTTGGGGATTTAGCTCAGTAGTAGAGCTCTTGTCACTGAGTTCAGTCCTCAGCTCCGAAAAAAAAAAAAAGAGGTAGAGGGACAGAAGCAATTAACAGACCCGGATAAAGAGAACATGTCTACCTCCTCCACCACCCAGGCTCAGGCCCAGGCCCAAGCACCCTCATCTCTCCTTGGACAACTGAGGAGAGCTCCCACATGGTCTCTAGGCCCTGTGAGATTCCATTCTCTGTTCTTGAGCCCGAGAGACCGTATATAAGCCAGAGATTTTGTTTTGTTTTGTTTTGTTTGTTTTTTTGTTTTTGATCTTTTTGAGACAGGGTCTCCCTTTAGAGCCCCAGCTGACCTGGAACTCTATGTAGACCAGGTTGGCCTTAATCTGACAGAGATATATTTATTATCTATTAATTTTTAAATATTCTATTTTATTTTTTTTTATGTGTATGAGTATATTGCCTGCATGTATGTAAGTGTACCTGTGTCATGCAGTGCCCACGGTGGTCAGAAGAGGGTGTCAGATCCCCTGGAACTGGAGTTTCGGATGGTTGTTAGCTGCCATGTGGGTGCTGGGAACCAAACCTGGGTCCTCTACAAGAGTAGTCAGTGCTCTTAACTGCTGAGCCATCTCTCCAGCCCCTATAATTCCTATATTTAATAAAATGTATCCTATAGTTTCTCCCAGCTTTCAAGGTTTAGGCTGCTTACTGGCATAACCAGGCAGGGGACTTCTGATCTGGGTTGCATCCATGTGTAAGTGTGTGTGTGTGTGTGTGTGTGTGTGTGTGTGTGTGTGTGTGTGTGTGGTGTATATATAAGTGTACAATGCATGTCCATGCATGTGTGTCTGGAGGCCAGAGGGCTACTTGGGATATCTTTCTTTATTGATCTCTACCTTATTATTATTATTTTTAAATGGACTCTCTCAACCTGAAACTCACTGTTTTGACTAGACTGACTTGCCCATGGGCCCAGATTCTCCTATCTCCCCCTCCTTCCCCGGTGCCGGGGCTGCACTGTGCCTTGTCACCATGCCTGGTTTTCCATGGGAGCTGGGATCCCAACGCAGGGCCCCATGCTGTGCAGCAAACACTTTACCTCCACTTAGCCATTTCCCCAGTCCACACACACACACACACACACTTTTTATTTTGTGCTGGGTTTTATATATTTTCTTTTGTTAAATATATTTTTATTTCATATTTTTATTTTATGTGTACAAGTGTATTGCCTGCATGTATGAGTGCACCCGTGTCATGCAATGCCTCGGTCAGAAGAGGACATCAGATTCCCCTGGAACTGGAGTTAAAGATGGTTCCTAGCTGCCATGTGGGTGCTGGGAATCGAACCCGGGTTCTCTGCAAGAGCAGTCAGTGGTCTTAACTGCTGAGCCATCTCTTCAGCCCCTATTTATTTATTTTCAAGACAGGGTCTGTGCTAGTTTGTTTCTTCATTGCTGTGACGAAACACTCTGACCACTACCAACTTGGGGAGGAAAGGGTTTATTTATCTTACTCTTCTGGGTCACAGTTCATCAGGGAGCCCAAGGTAGGAACTCAGGGCAGGAACCTGGAAGCAGGAGCTGGAGCACAGGCCATGGAGGAACGCTGCTTACTGACTTGCTCCCTTGGCCCCTACTCAGCCTGCTTTCTTATGCAACACAGGCCCACCTGCCCAGGGGTGGCACCACCCACAGTGGGCTGGGCCCTCCCACATCACTCATCAAGAAGATGCCCTTCAGACATGGCCACAGGCCAGTCCAATAGAGGTGTGTCAAGTTGACACTAAAGCTATCCAGCACAGGGTCTTACAGTGAAGACCAGATTGACCTCAAACTCATGATCCTACTGCCTCAGTCTCTCTAATGCAGGCCTGGGCTCCCCGACCCACTTCTGAGACAGAGTTTCATGTAGCCCAGAATGGCATCAAACTCCTTATGTAGCTGAGGCTGGCTTTGAACTTCTGATCTTGTTTCCAACTGAGTGCTAGGATTACAGGCATGTACAATCACACCCAGTTTACAGGGTACTGCAGATCAAACCTAGGGCTTCATATATGCTAGACAAGAACTCTACAAACTGAACTACTGTAACCCAGGCTGTCCTTAAACTCACTATCCAGCCCAAATGGCTTCCAACTAGAGATGATACTCCTGCCTCAACCTCCCTAGTGCTGGGATCACAGGCCTCAAGCACCATCAAGCTTGTCAACTTTTTAAAGCTTAAATTCCACCTCTTCTCTCTCTGGCTTTCATTTTCCAGAACACACCCAAGCCTTTTTCCCACCACAGGGCCTTAGCACATGCCCACTGCTTGGAACGCTGGGGTCTCAGCTGTTCAGCTAGCTGGCTCTTTTCTTTCCACTGTCCGTCCATGGGTCTATCCCATTTAGAGAAGCCCTTATTGACCACTGCACCTAGTGAGGGCCCCACACAGTATTCCCTAGTGCAGAGGTCAATACACTGTAGTCCCTGTGATGAGTCTGGCCCAATGCCTCTTTCTGTGGGCTCTGACTGGAACACAGAGTCACCCATGCCTCTGTGTACTGCCTATGACTGTACTTGAGCTTGAGCTGTAGTGACAGAGTTTAGCTGTGACAAAGAAACTGCACAGGGCTTGAAGAGGAAAATATTTATAGAAAAGAAGTTGCCTGGAGCTCTCTCATAGCATTCTGTTTTCTACGAAGTATTGCTCCCCAACTCAAATTATTGACTTGTTCCTCATTCAACAGTCTGTCTCGCAGTTCATTTCCCCTTCTGGACTGTAAGCTGGAACAATGCCTGGCAATTAGGAACACTTGTTTTTAGATTTTTTTTTAAGCTTTCTGACTTTGGGGGACTGGAGAGAAGGCTTAGTGGTTAAGAACACCAGCTGCTCTTGCAGAGAATCTGGGTTCAGCTGGCAAACACATAGCAGCTAAGAACCAGTTCCAGGGGATCTGATGCCCTCTTCTGGCTTCTGTGGGCATTGCACACATGTGGTCCACTTAAATACAGGCAAAGCACTCATACACATAAAATAAAAATAAATTAAAAAAAAAAATTTAAGCCGGGCATGGTGGCACACGCCTTTAATCCCAGCACTCGGGAGGCAGAGGCAGGAGGATCTCTGTGAGTTCAAGGCCAGCCTGGTTTACATAGTGAGTTCCAGGATAGCTGGGGCTACAGGGAGACCCTATCTCAAAAAGACCAAAAAAAAAAAAAAAAAACTGAAAAGAGAGCCTGGGGTTGGAGAGATGGTTCAGGAGTTAAGAACACTTACTGCTCTTGCAAAGGACCCAGGTTTGATTCCCAGCACCCACATGGCGGCTGACAACCGTCTGTAACTCCAGTTTCAGGGAATCTGATGCCCTCTTCTGACCTTCATGGGCACTGCACAACACGGATGCACTTACATACATGCAGACAATACACTTGTACACATAAAATAAAAATAATAGATAAAATATTTTTAAAAATCCATCTTAGCCAGGTGTGGTGGTGCACACCTTTAGTCCCAGCACTTGGGAGGCAGACGCAGGTGGATCCCTGTGAGTTCAAGGCCAGCCTAGTCTACATAGTGAGTTCCAGGCCAGCTGGAGTTACAGGGAGACCCTATCTCAAAAAAAAAAAAGGCCAAAAAAAAAAATCAATCTTAACTACTTATCTCTCCAGCACCCTATTATTACTATCTTTAAATTTTAGTTTAAGATAAAATTTTATTTAATTTTAATTTT